AAAAATGGGGTTAGAAACACCAAAAAATGGGGTTAGAAACACCAAAAATAGGGTTAAACACTCAAAAGATGGGGTTAAAAACACCAAAAATGGGGTTAGAAACACCCAGCACCGCATCGAGTTCCTCGAGGACTTCGGCTCCAGCATCCACAGGTGGGGGGGGACGGCCCAGAAATGGGGTTAAACACACAAAAATGGGGTTAAACACTCAAAAAATGGGGTTAGAAACACCCCCAAAATGGGGTTAAAACCACCAGAAATGGGGTTAAACCCACCAAAAGTGGGGTTAAACACAAAAAAATGGGGTGAAACACCCCCAAAAAAGGGAGCAAAATGCCCCAGAGAGGGGGTAAAAAAAAACCCCAAAACGTGGGGGAAACCCCCGAAAAGGGGCAAAGATGACCAAAGGGGGAGGGACAGTCCAGGAGGGCAGGGGTGCCAGGGGCAGGGGGTGCCAGGGGCAGGGGTACCAGGGGTGCCAGGGGTACCAGGGGTACCAGGGGTCTCAGCTGTGCCCCTCCCTCCCCCAGCCTGCTCCAAGGCCTACGATGAGCACCAGAAAATCCTCAAGGCCCACGCGGCGTGAAGAGACCCCGAGCGGGTGAGACCCCCAGGACCCCCTGTGGGACTCCCGTGGACCCCCCTGTGCCCTCCTATTGCTAATTCCCCCTTCTGTCCCTCCTGTCCCCCTTGGTCCCAATTCCCCCAGGCCCTCCTGTGCCCCCTTTGGTCCCAATTCCCCCTTCTGTGCCCTCTTATATTTAATTCCCCCCTTCTGTCCTCTCTTTTGCCCCTTGTCCCAATTCCCCCAGGTCTCTCCTGTGCCCCCTTTGATCCCAATTCCCCTCTCCTGTTCCCCCTTGGTCCCAATTCTCCCCCGGGCTCTCCTGTTCCCCCTTTGATCCCAATTTCCTCAGGCTCCTCCTGTCCCCCCTTGGTCCCAATTCCCCCAGGTCCCCTCCTGTGCCCCTCTTGATCCTAATTCCCTCCCCTGGGTCCCTCCTGTCTTTCCCCCTTTTCCCTCCTTTTTATCCCAATTTCCCCCTCTTTTCCCAATTTTCCCTCCTTTTATCCTAAATTTTCCCTTTCCCCCATAATCCCAATTTTCCCCTTTCCCCCTTTTATCCCAATTTTCCCCTTTTCCCCCATTTCCCCCTTTTCCCTCTTTTGTCCCAATTTCCCCCTTTTTATCCCAATTTTCCCCTTCCCCCTTTTATCCCAATTTTCCCCTTTCCCCTTTTTATCCCAATTTTCCCCCTTTATCCCAATTTCCCTCAATTTTCCCTTTTCCCCTTTTATCCCAATAATTCCCCAATTTCCCTCCTTTATCCCAATAATTCCCCCAATTTCTCCCTTTTCCACCTTTTATCCCAATAATTCCCCCAATTTCCCCTTTTCCCCCTTTTATCCCAATCTCCCCCAATTTCCTCCCAATTTCCCCTTTTATCCCAATTTTCCCTTTTCCCCTTTTTATCCCAATTCCCTCTATCCCAATATTCCCCCAATTTCCTCTTTTCCCTTTTATCCCAATTTCCCCCAATTTCCCCCTTTATCCCAATAATTCCCCTAATTTTCCCTCTCTTTATCCCAATAATTCCCCATTTTCCTTCCTTTTATCCCAATAATTCCCATTTCCCTTTTATCCCAATAATCCCCCAATTTTCCCCTTTTATCCCAATTCCCAGATTCCCGATGACAAGCTGCTCGTCCCCAATTTCCCCTTTTATCCCAATAATTTCTATCCCAATTTCCCCTTTTCATATCCCCAATTTTCCCCTTTTCCCCTTTCCCTTTTATCCCAATAATTCCCCAATTTCCCCCTTTTATCCCAATAATTCCCCTAATTTCCTTTCTCCCTTATCCCAATTCTCCCCCAATTTCCCCTTTTATCCCAATTATCCCAATTTCCCTCTTTATCCCACTTTCCCCCTTCCCACCTTTTATCCCAATTTTCCCTTTTCCCCCAATTTCCCCTTTTATCCCAATAATTTCCCCTTTTTCCCCTACTAATTCCCCCATTCCCCCAATTTCCCCCTTTTATCCCAATAATTCCCCAATTTCCCCCTTTTCCCTCTGCCCAGGTCGGAGGACCCGAGGACAAGCGGCTCTGTCCCCCCAATTTCCCCCTTTTATCCCAATTTCCCCATTTTATCCCAATTTCCCTCTTTTATCCCAATAATTCTCCCAGTTTCCCCCTTTTCCCAATTCCCCTTTATCCCAATTTCCCCTTTTATCCCAATAATCCCCCAATTTTCCCCCTTTCCCTTCCTCCCAGGTCGGAGGACCCCGAGGACAAGCGGCTCTGTCCCCCAATTTCCCCCTTTATCCTATCCCCTTTTATCCCAATAATTCCCCCAATTTCCCCCTTTTATCCCAATTTTCCCCCTTTTATCCCAATAATCCCCCCATTTTCCCCCCTCCCAGGTCGGAGGACCCCGAGGACAAGCGGCTCCGTCCCCCCAATTTCCCCCTTTTATCCCAATTTCCCCCTTTTATCCCAATTTCCCCCTTTTATCCCAATAATTTCCCCCCAATTTCCCCCTTTTATCCCAATAATTCCCCCTTTTATCCCAATTTCCCCCAATTTTCCCCCCTCCCAGGTCGGAGGACCCCGAGGACAAGCGGCTCTGTCCCCCCAATTTCCCCCTTTTATCCCAATAATTCCCCAATTTTCCCACTATTCTCCTTTTCCCCCCTGCCAGGTCGGAGGACCCCGAGGACAAGCGGCTCCATCCCCCCAATTTCCTTTTATCCCAATAATCTCCCCAATTTTCCCTCATTTATCCCCTGCCAGGTCGGAGGACCCCGAGGACAAGCGGCTCCGTCCCGAGGACCCCTCGGGGCTGTTGGGCCCCCTCGGCTTCTCGGGGGGAGGGGGGGACCCCAACCCCAACTACAACTACTGGTACCAGGTCAGTGTTTGGGGGTCCGGGAGTCCTGGGAGCCCCGCGGACCCCTCCCCCTCCCCCCTCCCCAAAATTCCAGCAGGGATACGGCACCTACGGATACCAAAACCCCTGGAGCTACGGCCACTACTACGGGCAGAGCTGAGGGGTCCCATCCTGACCCCCAGAGCCCCCCAGAGCCCTCCTGACCCCCCCAGACCCCCCGAGCCCCCTGACCCCCAGAGCCCCCAGCCCGGCACGGGGCTGGAAATAAAGGAGAGGCTCCTGGGGAGTCAGGGGTCTTTATTGGGGGCTGGGGGTCTCAGGGGGGGTCGTGTTGCTTTTTGGGGGTGGGGGTGGGGGGCACGGTCCATGTGCATCTTTGGGGTCACCCCCCTGGTTTGGGGGTCTCAGAAGCCCCCCTGGAGCAGATCCCGGTGGATTTTGGGGTCCCCCAGCCTAGGGGGGGTCTCAGGAGCCCCCCTGGAGCAGATCCCGGTGGATTTTGGGGTCCCCCAGCAGATCCCGGTGGATTTGGGGGTCCCCCAGCCCGGAGGGGGGGTCTCAGGAGCCCCCCTTGAGCAGATCCCGGTGGATTTGGGGGTCTCAGAAGCCCCCCTGGAGCAGATCCCGGTGGATTTGGGGTCTCAGAAGCCCCCCTGGAGCAGATCCCGGTGGATTTGAGGGTTCCCCTGGCTGGGGGGGTCTCAGAAGCCCCCCATGAACAGATCCCAGTGGATTTGGGGGTCCCCCAGCCTGGGGGGGGTCTCAGAAGCCCCCCATGAACAGATCCCGGTGGATTTGGGGGTCCCCCAGCCTGGGGGGGGGTCTCAGGAGCCCCCCATGAGCAGATCCCGGTGAATTTTGGGGTCTCAGGAGCCCCCCATGAGGAGATCCCGGTGGATTTGGGGGTCTCAGGAGCCCCCCATGAGCAGATCCCGGTGAATTTTGGGGTCTCAGAAGCCCCCCATGAGCAGATCCCGATGGATTTGGGGGTCTCAGGAGCCCCCCTGGAGCAGATCCCGATGGATTTTGGGGTCCCCCAGCCTGGAGAGGGTCTCAGAAGCCCCCCATGAGCAGATCCCGGTGGATTTTGGGGTCTCAGGAGCCCCCCATGAGCAGATCCCAGTGGATTTTGGGGTCTCAGGAGCCCCCCATGAACAGATCCCGGTGGATTTTGGGGTCTCAGGAGCCCCCCATGAACAGATCCCGGTGGATTTTGGGGTCTCAGAAGCCCCCCATGAGCAGATCCCAATGGATTTGGGGTCCCCCAGCAGGTCCTGGTGGATTTGGGGGTCTCAGGAGCCCCCCCCATGAGCAGATCCCGGTGGATTTGGGGTCTCAGAAGCCCCCCCCATGAACAGATCCCGGTGGATTTGAGGGTTCCCCTGGCTGGGGGGGTCTCAGAAGCCCCCCATGAGCAGATCCCGGTGGATTTGGGGTCTCAGGAGCCCCCCATGAGCAGATCCCAGTGGATTTGGGGGTCTCAGGAGCCCCTCATGAGCAGATCTTGATGGATTTGGGGGTCCCCCAGCAGATCCCGGTGGATTTGGGGTCTCAGAACCCCCCCTGGAGCAGATCCCAGTGGATTTTGGGGTCTCAGAAGCCCCCCATGAGCAGATCCCGGTGGATTTGGGGTCTCAGGAGCCCCCCATGAGCAGATCCCAGTGGATTTGGGGGTCCCCCAGCCGGAGGGGGGGTCTCAGAAGCCCCCCTGGAGCAGATCCCGGTGGATTTGGGGTCTCAGAAGCCCCCCATGAGCAGATCCCGGTGGATTTGGGGGTCCCCCAGCCCGGAGGGGGGGTCTCAGAAGCCCCCCTGGAGCAGCCAGGCCCTCAGCTCAGCCCCCCAGTGCCCCTTGAGCCGGAGGGTCCCGCTGACCTCGTTCACCTGGACCTGCAGCTCCGGGACCCCCAGGAACGCCCTCAGGTCCCGCTCCAGAGCCTGGGGGGGACAGGGGGGGTCAGAAACACCCAAAACACCCCCTGGGACCCCCCAAAAACCCCCCTGGGACCCCCCAAAAACCCCCCTGGGACCCCCAGGAACGCCCTCAGGTCCCGCTCCAGAGCCTGGGGGGGACAGGGGGGGTCAGGGACACCCCTGGGACCCCCAAAAGCCACCCTGGGACCCCCCAAAAACCACCCTGGGACCCCCCATAATCACTCCAGGACCCCCAGAACCCCCCCATCTTGGGGACCCCCATAACCCAATCCCCCCCCAGCTCACCCAGAGGTCCCGCTCAGAGCCCCGGTACAGGGTGGTCTCTCTCCTGTTCCCCCTCCTCACCCCCAGACCCCCAGCTCACCCAGAGGTCCCCTAGAGCTCCCCAGACCCCCTGAGCCCCCCAGACCCCCAGCTCACCCAGAGTCCCCGCTGAGGCCCCTCAGGGTGGTCTCTCTCCTGTTCCCCCTCCTCACCCCCTGACCCCCCAGACCCCCAGACCCCTGACCCCCAGACTCACCCAGAACCCCCAGGACCCCCAGCTCACCCAGAGGTCCCACGGCCCCCAGCTCACCCAGACCCCCAGACCCCCAGCTCACCCAGAGGTCCCCACTGACCCCCAGACCCCCAGCTCACCAGACCCCCAGACCCCAGCTCACCCAGAGGTCCCGCTGAGCCCCCTCAGGGTGGTCTCTCTCCTGTTCCCCCTCCTCACCCCCTGACCCCCTAGACCCCCAGCTCACCCAGAGGTCCCCGCTGAGCCCCCTCAGGGTGGTCTCTCTCCTGTTCCCCCTCCTCACCCTGACCCTCCCTGACCCCCAGACCCCCAGACCCCCAGCTCACCCAGAGCCCCCTGAGCCCCCAGACCCCCAGCTCACCCAGAGGTCCCCGCTGAGCCCCCTCAGGGTGGTCTCTCTCCTGTTCCCCCTCCTCACCCCCTGACCCTCCCCAGACCCCCTGACCCCCCAGACCCCCAGCTCACCCAGAGGTCCCCGCTGAGCCCCCTCAGGGTGGTCTCTCTCCTGTTCCCCTCCTCACCCCCTGACCCCCAGACCCCCAGCTCACCCAGACCCCCAGAGCCCCCAGACCCCCAGCTCACCCAGGGTCCCCGCTGACCCCCAGACTCCCAGCTCACCCAGACCCCCAGAGCCCCCAGCTCACCCAGGGTCCCCTGGCCCCAGACCCCCCAGCTCACCCAGACCCCCAGACCCCCAGCTCACCCAGAGGTCCCCGCTGAGCCCCCTCAGGGTGGTCTCTCTCCTGTTCCCCCTCCTCACCCCCTGACCCCCTGACCCCCAGCTCACCCAGAGGTCCCCGCTGAGCCCCCAGACCCCCAGCTCACCCAGACCCCCAGAGCCCCCAGCTCACCCAGAGGTCCCCGCTGAGCCCCTCAGGGTGGCTCTCTCCTGTTCCCCCTCCTCACCCTGACCTCCTGACCCCAGACCCCCAGAGCCCCAGCTCACCCAGACCCCCAGACCCCCAGCTCACCCAGACCCCCTGACCCCCCAGACCCCCAGCTCACCCAGAGGTCCCCGCTGAGCCCCCTCAGGGTGGTCTCTCTCCTGTTCCCCCTCCTCACCCCCTGACCCCCTGGCCCCCTGACCCCCAGCTCACCCAGACCCCCTGGCCCCCAGACCCCCAGCTCACCCAGAGCCCCCTGACCCCCAGACCCCCAGCTCACCCAGAGGTCCCCGCTGAGCCCCCTCAGGGTGGTCTCTCTCCTGTTCCCCCTCCTCACCCCCTGACCCCCCCAGACCCCCAGACCCCCAGCTCACCCAGAGGTCCCCGCTGAGCCCCCTCAGGGTGGTCTCTCTCCTGTTCCCCCTCCTCACCCCCAGGTACACCGGCAGGTTGTGGTACCGGGAGCGGCGCACGAAGTACGGGACCCCCGGGGGGGGGCCTGGGGGCAAATGGGATGAGACCCCCAGGGGCTGGACACACTCCAAGGGGGTAAAAACACCCAAAGGGGGGCTGGACACCCCTGGGGGGGAAAAAACCCACCCAAAGGGGGGGTAAAACCCACCCAAAGAGGGGCTGGACACCCCCAGGGGGAGAAAACCACCCAAAGGGGGGTAAAACCCACCCCAAAGAGGGGCTGGACACCCCCAGGGGGGTAAAACCCACCTAAAAGAGGGGCTGGACACCCCTATGGAGGTAAAACCCACCCAAAAAAGGGGCTGGACACTCCTAGGGGGAAAAAGCCCACCCAAAAGAGGAATTGACACCCCCAAGGGGGGGAAAAACCCACCCAAAGGGGGGGTAAAACCCACCTAAAGAGGGGCTGGACACCCCCTGGGGGATAGAACCCACCCAAAGGGGGGATTGACACCCCTGGGGGGGAAAAACCCACCCAAAGGGGGGAAAAACCCACCTAAAGAGGGGCTGGACACTCCTGGGGAAAAACCCACCCAAAGGGGTAAAACCCACCCAAAGACGGGCTGGACACCCCAGGAGGAAAAACCCACCCAAAGGGATTGACACCCTAGGGGGTAAAACCCACCTAAAAGGGGGCTGGACACCCCCAAGGGGATAAAACCCACCCCAAAGTGGGGATGGACACCCCCAGGGGGAAAACCCACCCAAGAGGGCTGGACACCCCAGGAAAAACCCACCCCAAAAGAGGGGCTGGACCCCCCCCAGGAAGGAATTAGAGCCCCCCCCCCCAGCTAATTAAACCCCCTCCTCAGACTCAATTACCTGTTTGGAATAAATGATTTCCTCCTCCCCCAACCACAGGAAATAATTTTGGTCCCCCTCTAAAACTGCCCCATCCCCCAGGGTAAATCCCCCAAAATGCCCTCCAGGGAATTGCCCCCAGGGTAAATGCCCCCAAAATCAGCCAGGAATTGCCCCCCTGGGGTAAATCCCCAAAATGCTCCAGGAATCGCCCCCCAGGGTAAATCCCCCCAAAATCGCCCCAGGAACTGCCCCTGAGGGTAAATCCCCCAAAATCGCCCCAAAATTGCCTCCCAGAGTTAGATCCCCTAAAATCGCCCCAGGATTCTGCCCCCAGAGGTAAATCCCCCAGAATCGCCCCAGGAGTGCCTCAGGGTCAAATCCCCCAGGAGTGCCCCCAAAATTGCCCCCCAGGGTGAAATCCCCCAAGAATTGCCCCCCAGGGTAAATCCCCCAAAATCACCCCAGGAATTGCCCCCCAGGGTAAATCCCCAAAATCACCCCAGGAATTGCCCCCAGGGCCAATCCCCAAAATCACCCAGGAATTGCCCTCCCATGGTAAATGCCCCCAAAATCACCCCAGGAATTGCCCCCAGGGTAAGCCCCCAAAATCACCACAGGAATTGCCCCCAGGGTAAATCCCCCAAAATCACGCCAGGGATAGTCGCCCCCAGGGTAAATCCCCCAAAATCATCCCCAGGAATTGCCCCAGTGAAATCCCCAAAATCCTCCCAGGATTGCCCCCAGGGTAGTGCCCCAAATCGCCCCAGGGTAAATCCCCGAATCACCCCAGGGTGCCCCCAGGGTAAATGCCCCCAAATCGCCCCCAGAGTCCCTGACCTGTGGGGGGCTCCAGCCCATGGGGTGGGGTGGGAGGGTGTGGGGGGGTCTGGGATGCGGGTGGGGCAGGAGCCGCTCCACGGACGCGAACTCGGCCCTCGACTCCTCGGGGCCCGGGGCTCTGCGGGGCAGAAAGGGGGCAGGGGGCTCAGCAAGGACCCCCCGGTCCCCCTGCCCATCCCAGGACCCCCTGATGCCCCCTGCCCATCCCAGGACCCCCTGAACCCCCTGCCCATCCCAGGACCCCTGCCCATCCCAGGACCCCCTGAACCCCCTGCCCATCCCAGGATCCCCTGCCCATCCCAGGACCCCTGATGCCCCTGCCCATCCCAGTACCCCCTGCCCATCCCAATCCCTCTGCCCATCCCAGGACCCCCTGAATCCCCCTGCCCATCCCAGGACCCCCGATCCCCCTGCCCATCCCAGGACCCCCAGTCCCCCTGCCCATCCCAGAACCCCTGCCCATCCCAGTCCCCCTGCCCATCCCAGTCCCCCTGCCCATCCCAGTCCCCCTGCCCAGCCCAGGACCCCCTGCCCATCCCAGGACCCCCTGATACCCCCTGCCCATCCCAGTCCCCCTGCCCATCCCAGGACCCCCTGAACCCCCTGCCCATCCAGGACCCCCAAACCCCCTGCCCATCCCAGGACCCCCTGCCCATCCCAGGACCCCTGCACACCCCCTGCCCATCCCAGGACCCCCAATGCCCCCTGCCCATCCCAGGACCCCCTGAACCCCCTGCCCATCCCAGTCCCCCTGCCCATCCCAGGACCCCCCTGAACCCCCTGCCCATCCCAGTCCCCCTGCCCATCCCAGGACCCCCTGAATCCCCCTGCCCATCCCAGGACCCCCCAATGCCCCCTGCCCATCCCAGGACCCCCTGCCCATCCCAGGACCCCTGAACCCCCTGCCCATCCCAGGACCCCCAATCCCCCTGCCCATCCCAGGACCCCCTGCCCATCCCAGGACCCCTGATGCCCCCTGCCCATCCCAGTACCCCCTGCCCATCCCAGGACCCCCTAGTCCCCCTGCCCATCCCAGTCCCCCTGCCCATCCCAGGACCCCCTGATGCCCCCTGCCCATCCCAGGATCCCCCTGCCCATCCCAGGACCCCCTGGATCCCCCTGCCCATCCCAGGACCCCTGCCCATCCCAGGACCCCCCCGATCCCCCTGCCCATCCCAGGACCCCTCCAATGCCCCCTGCCCATCCCAGGACCCCCTGCCCATCCCAGGACCCCCTGCCCATCCCAGGACCCCCGATCCCCCTGCCCATCCCAGGACCCCTGCACATCCCAGGCCCCTCCCAGTCCCCCTGCCCATCCCAGGATCCCCCTGCCCATCCCAGGACCCCCTGCCCATCCCAGGACCCCCAGTCCCCCTGCCCATCCCAGGACCCCTGCCCATCCCAGTCCCCCTGCCCATCCCAGGACCCCCTGCCCATCCCAGGACCCCCTGCCCATCCCAGGACCCCCCAGTCCCCCTGCCCATCCCAGGATCCCCTGCCCATCCCAGGACCCCCTGCCCATCCTAGGCCTCCCAGTCCCCATGCCCATCCCAGGACCCCCTGCCCATCCCAGGACCCCCCATCCCGTCCTGCCCATCCCAGGACCTCCCTGCCCTCAGCCCCCAGGACCCCCTGCCCATCCCAGGACCTCTCCCAGTCCCCCTGCCCATACCTGCAGCCCCCTGCCCATCCCAGGACCCTCAGCCCCCTGCCCATCCCAGGACCCCCTGCCCATTCCACAGCGCCCTGCAGCCCCCTCAGGTACCTGCAGCCCCCTCAGGCCCCCTCAGGTGCCCCCTCAGCCCCCTCAGGTACCTGCAGCCCTCAGGCACCCTGCCCAGCGCCCTCAGCCTCAGCCCTGCAGCCCCTCAGCCCCCTCAGGTACCTGCAGCCCCCAGGTCCCCTGCCCAGCGCCCTCAGCCCCCGGCCCAGCGCCCCTCAGCCCCTCAGGTACCTGCAGCCCCTCAGGTACCCCCTCAGCCCCCCTCAGGGTACCTGCAGCCCCCAGGGCCCCCTGCACCAGCGCCCTCAGCCCCCGTAGGCCCCAGCTCCCTCAGCCCCCTCATGTACCTCGCAGCCCCCTCAGCCCCCTCAGGTACCTGCAGCGCCCTCGGCCCCCTCAGCCTCTCAGCGCCCTCAGCCCCCTCAGGACCCAGCGCCTGGCCATCGCCTCAGCCCCTGCCGCCATCTTGGCCCTGCCTCCTCCTCCTCCTCCTCCTCCTCCTCCCGCCGTGCTGACGTCACCGCGCGCGCACGCACCGGCGTGGTGACGTCACCGCGGCCCTTCCGTCGTGCGCGGAGCTGTGAGGGGAGCACGAGGGCGGGGGAGAAAGGGGCAAAATGGGGAAAAATGAGGGGAAATTGAGGAAAATGAGGGAAATTGGGGAAAATGAGGGGAAATTGAGGGCTGGGGGCGCTGAGGGTGTTGGGGGTCTGAGCGGCGTTTTGGGGGATCGGGGAGGTTGGAGCTCTGAGGAGCGGGTGACGGTGAGGGGAATTTGAGGGGAAATGAGGGGAATTGAGGGGTTGGGAGGAAATGAGGGAAAATGGGGATCGGAGTGTGTTTGAGGGGATCGGGGGAGTTGGAGCTGTGAGGGAGCGGGTGACGGTGACGGGGAAAATGAGGGGAATTGAGGGGAAATTGAGGGTTGGGAGGGGAAATGAGGGGAATTGAAGGGAAATTGGGGATCAGGGAGTGTTTGAGGGGATCGGGGAGTTGGAGCTCTGAGGAGCGGGTGACGGTGAGGGGGAATTTGGGAGTTGAAAATGAGGGGAAATTGAGGGGTTGGGAGGGAAATGAGGGGAAATTGGGGATCGAGGGTGTTTTGGGAGGTCTAAGCTGGCATTTTGGGGGATCGGGGAGTTGGAGCCTGAGAGAGCGGGTGACGGTGAGGGGGAATTTGAGTGGGGAAAATGAGGGGAATTGAGGGGTTGGGGAAATGAGGGGAATTAAAGGGGTTGGGGAAATGAGGGGAATTGAGGGGTTGGGGGAAATGAGGGAATCTGAGGGGAAATTGGGGGAAATGAGGGGATTGAGGGTGGGAGGGGGCTTTGAGGGTCAGGAGGGAATTGAGGGGTCGGGGGCTGTTGGGGATCTGTGGCATTTGGGGAGATCTGTAGGGCATTTGGGGGTCTGTGGGTATTTGGGGGTCTGTGGGTATTTGAGGACACGGGGGGAATTGGGGTCATTTCGGGGTCTGGAGGAATTGAGGGAAATTAGGGTGTTCAGGGGGATTTAGGGGCCAGGGGTCCCTGGGAGAGGGTTTGGGGGCTCGGAGGAGTTTGAGTTTTGGGGCTGTCCTGGGAGGCTTTGAGGGGAATTTTTTGGGTCTGGGGTCGTGGGGAGGCTGGGGCTCTGGGGCACAGTACATTAGGGGCTGCAAAATCCCCCCGAGTTCCCTTCCCAGCCTCTTTGTCCCCAGGGCTCCTTTCCAGGGGACAAAGTCCCTGTGGGTGGAAGGGGAGGGAAAACACCTCAAAAACACCTCAGAAACGCCCTCAGGCTCCAAACACCCCCAGGCCCTCAACAGCCCCCAAAAACCCTCAGCCCCCCAAAACACCCTCAGCCCCCAGAAAACACAGCTCTTCCAAAAACACCCTAGCCCCCCAAAACACCCCCAGCCTCCCCTAAAAACACCTCAGCCCTCCAAAACACCCTCAGCTCCCCAAAAACACTCTCAGCCCTCCAAAAACACCCCAGTCCCCCAAAAACACCTCAGCCCCCCAAAACACCCTCAACCCCCAAAAATACTCTCAGCCCCCCAAAAACACCCCAGGCCCCCAAAACACCTCAGCCCCCTAAAAACACTCTCAGCCCCCAAAAACACCCCCAGTCCCCCAAAAACACCTCAGCCCCCAAAAACACCCTCAGCCCCCCAAAAACACCCTCAGTTCCCCCAAAACACCCTCAACCCCCCAAAAACACCCTCAGCCCCCAAAAACACCCTCAACCCCCAAAACACCCTCAGCCCCCAAAAACGCCCTCAGACCCCTAAAAACCCTCAGCCCCCAAAAAACACCCTAGTCCCCCAAAAACACCTCAGTCCCCCAAAACACCCTCAGCCCCCAAAAACACCCTCAGACTCCTAAAAGACCCTCAACCCCCAAAACATCCTCAGCCCCCCAAAAACACCCTCAAGCCCCCTGACCCCCAAATTTCCCCCAGCCCCCACCATGCAGCTCTTCGTGCGTGCCCAGACCCTGCTGACCCTCCAGGTCTCGGGCTCCGAGACCCTCGCCCAGCTCAAGGTGAGACGCCCCCCAAATTCGGGGGATCCCCCCCTGAGCCCTCACCATTTTTGGGGTGCTGCGCCCCCCATTTTTGGGGTGCTGATCCCCCATTTTGGGGAGCAGCCCCCCCCTGTTTTTGGGGTGCTGATCCCCCCATTTTCAGGGTGTTGCCCCCCCTGTTTTTCGGGTGCTGATCCCCCATTTTTGGGGGTGCTGCCCCCCCTGGTTTTGGGGTTGTTACCCCTCACTTTTTGGGGTGCTGCCCCCCCATTTTCAGGGTGTTGACCCCCCATTTTGGGGTTGTTATCCCCCCTATTTTTGGGGTGCTGACCCCCCGTTTCCCCCCCAGGAGAAGCTGTCGGGGGTGCCCCCCATTTTGGGGCGCTGACCCCCCATTTTGGGATTATTGCCCCCCTATTCTGGGGTTGTTGCCCCCCATTTTTGGGGTGCTGACCCCCCATTTTTGGGGTTGTTACCCCCCCATTTTGGGGTTGTTACCCCCCCATTTTGAGGTTGCTGCCCCCCCATTTTTAGGGGGTTTGCCCCTCCATTTTGGGGTTGTTGCCCCCCCATTTTTGGGGTGCTGACTCCCATTTTGGGGTGCTGACCTCCATTTTTAGGGTGTTTTCCCCCCATTTTGGGGTTGCTGCCCCCCCATTTTTGGGGTGCTGACCCCCCCATTTTGGGGTGCTGACCCCCCGTCTCCCCCCCAGGAGAAGGTGTCGGAGCTGTCGGGGGTGCCCCCCATTTTGGGGTGCTGACCCCCCCATTTTTGGGGTGCTGACCCCCCGTTTTTGGGGTGCTGACCCCCCCCATTTTTAGGGTGTTTTCCCCCCATTTTTGGGGTGCTGACCCCCCTTTTCCCCCCCCAGGAGAAGGTGGCAGAGCTGTCGGGGGTGCCCCCCCAGGAGCAGCTGCTGCTCTGGGAGGGGACCCCCCTGGACGATGGGACCGTGCTGGGGCAGAGCCCCCTCCCCGAATTGGCCACCCTGGAGCTCTCCACGCGCCTGCTGGGGTACTAACGCCTCCTAATTAACACCCCTAATTAACAAATAGACCCCCCCAATCCTCTTTAATTGTCGTCCCCCCCCAGGGAAGGTCCACGGATCCCTCGCCCGTGCCGGCAAAGTGAGGGGCCAGACCCCCAAGGTGAGCGCTCGGGGGGCTCCCCCCTCTTTTTTAGACCCCCCCCCCGGGTTTTGAGGGGTCTGGGGGACCCTTTGGGACCCCCCCCAAACGTTTATTTTTATTTTGGGGTGGGGGGCTCAGGTGGCCAAGCAGGAGAAGAAGAAGAAGAAGACGGGGCGGGCCAAGCGGCGCATGCAGTACAACCGGCGCTTCGTCAACGTGGTGCCCACCTTCGGCAAGAAAAAGGGCCCCAACGCCAACTCCTGAGCCAAATAAATGAATTTTGGGTTCATTCCCCTCATTTTGGTGGTTTTGGGGTTTTTTGGGGGGGTTTTGGGGTATTTTTGGGTTTGGGGGTGCGGTACAACCGGCGCTTCGTCAACGTGGTGCCCACCTTCGGCAAGAAGAAGGGCCCCAACGCCAACTCCTGAGCCAAATAAATGAATTTTGGGTTCATTCCTCTTGATGTTTGGTGGTTTTTGGGGGTTTTTGGGGGTTTTGGGGTTTTTGGGGTTCAGGGGTGTGGTACAACCGGCGCTTCGTCAACGTCGCGCCCACCTTGGGCAAGAAGAAGGGCCCCAACGCCAACTCCTGAGCCAAATAAAGTGAATTTTGGGTTCATTCCCCTCATTTTGGTGGTTTTGGGTTTTTTTGGGGGGTTTTTTGGGGGGTTTTGGGGTTTTTTGGGGAGTTGAGGGGGTGCAGTACAACCGGCGCTTCGTCAACGTGGTGCCCACCTTCGGCAAGAAGAAGGGCCCCAACGCCAACTCCTGAGCCAAATAAAGTCAATTTTGGGTTCATTACCCTCATTTTGGTGGTTTTGGGGGTTTTTTGGGGAGGTTTTGGAGGGTTTTGGGGTTTTTTGGGGTTCGGGGGGTGCGGTACAACCGGCGCTTCGTCAACGTCGCGCCCACCTTGGGCAAGAAGAAGGGCCCCAACGCCAACTCCTGAGCCAAATAAAGTGAATTTTGGGTTCATTCCCCTCATTTTGGGGTTTTTGGGGTTTTCTGGGGGATTTGGGGTTTTTTGGGGGGTTTTTGGGGGGGTTTTGGGGTTTTTTGGGGGTTCAGGGGGCTGCGGTACAACCGGCGCTTCGTTAACATGGTGCCCACCTTCGGCAAGAAGAAGGGTCCCAACGCCAACTCCTGAGCCAAATAAATGAATTTTGGGTTCATTCCCCTCATTTTGGTGTTTGGGGTCTTTGATTTGTGGGTTTTGGGGGGTTTTGAGGGGTTTTTTGGGGGTTCAGGGGGGTGCAGTACAACCGGCGCTTCGTCAACGTCGTGCCCACCTTCGGCAGGAAGAAGGGCCCCAACGCCAACTCCTGAGCCAAATAAAGCACAATTTGGGGTTGATTTTCCTTCATTTCCCGCCTTTTGGGGCTTTTTTTTCCGCGCTTTTTGGGGAGGTTTGGAGGGTTTTTGGAGGGGTTTCGTGTTGGTTTAGGGGTTGTTTTGAGGTGTTTGAAGGGGTTTTGCGGCTGGAAGTGGCACTGAGGGGGTCGATGCGCGTGCCTGAGCTGCTGACGGATGGTTAATTAGAGAGAAAGGCTTAATTAGCGATCATTGGGGCGCTGGTAATGAGGGGATTCTCTGGGGGGGGTGACGGAAAGAACCGAGCGGTGCCGAGAGCCGTGATTGGCGGACGAGGCCGAGGGGGCGGAGCCAGCGCTCCGAGCGGCTCCGGAGACACCCGAGTGCTGAGGGGGCGGGGCTAAACCACCAGGGGGCGGGGCTAAGGCTTGGAGGGGATTTAAAGGGGCCGCGTTTCGAGTTCGGGGGGGGTCAAAGGTTGGGTTTGGAGGGGCTGGACCCCCCCCAGGTGGGGTCTCCCCAAATTTCTGAGTGTTCCCCAGACCCTCTTGGCTCCCACTCTGAGCTCCTGCATCCCCCCAGGCTCCTGGTTCCCCCCCAAATCTCTGCATCCCCCCAAATTCTCAGATCCCCCAAATTCTCAGATCCCCCCAAATTCTCAGCTCCCCCCCAAATTCTCAGCTCCCCCCCAAATCTCTCCATCCCCCCCAAATTCTCAGCTCCCCCCAAATCTCTCTATCCCCTCAAATTCTCAGCTCCCCCCAAATTCTCAGCTCCCCCCAAATCTCTCTATCCCTCAAATTCTCAGCTCCCCCAAATTCTCAGCTCCCCAAATCTCTCATCCCTCACATCTCAGCCCCCCAAATTCTCAGCTCCCCCAAATCTCTCCATCCCCCAAATTCTCAGCTCCCCCAGTCTCTGCATCCCCAAATTCTCGGCTCCCCCAAACCTCTACGTCCCCTCGGGTGCCTCCCACTCTCGGGTGCCCCCACCCTCGTGTCCCTGCAAAGAAGGAGCCACGGGGACCACAGAGGCCACTTTTATTGCCGGGGTGGGGGCCGTGACCCCCAGGGGACATCGGGGACACGGGGGGACATGGGGACCTTGGGGACAGGAGGGGCCAGTCCCTCGTGGGGGACACGGGGGACCTTGGGGACAGGGAGGGGCCAGTCCCTCGTGGGGACACGGGGACTTTGGGGACAGGAGGGGCCAGTCCCTCGGTGGGGACACGGGGACTTTGGGGACAGAGAGGGGCTAGTCCCTGCAGTGCAGGTGGGTTTTGATGTCCCCCGTCCTTTGGGGACATCAGCGACGCTGGGGACGTTGGGGACGTTGGGGACATCATTGGGGACAGTGGGGACAGTGGGGACAGTGGGGACATCATTGGGGACAGTGGGGACATCGGGGACGTTGGGGACATTGGGGACAGTGGGGACATTGGGGACAGCGGGGACAGTGGGGACATCGTTGGGGACATCGTTGGGGACATCATTGGGGACATCATTGGGGACAATGGGGACATCAGTGGGGACATTGTTGGGGACAGTGGGGACAGTGGGGACATCGTTGGGGACATCATTGGGGACATCAGTGGGGACAGTGGGGACATCATTGGGGACATTGTTGGGGACAGTGGGGACAGTGGGGACATGGTTGGGGACATCGTTGGGGACATCGTTGGGGACATCAGGCCACGGGGGGGGCTCAGTCCGTTGGGTCCAGGCGATGACAACGTCCCACGTCCTTCGGGGACATCGCCGGGGACATCACCGGGGACATCACTGGGGACGTCACTGGGGACATCACTGGGGACGTCACTGGGGACATCACTGGGGACATCACCGGGGACATCACTGGGGACGTCGGGCCACGACAGCTCTCAGTCCACTGGGGAGGGGACACCGAGGACATCGAGGGGGACATCGCTGGGGACGTCGTTGGGGACGTCGTTGGGGACATCATTGGGGACATCATCAGGGACATCGTTGGGGACGTCAGACCGTGCCGTGTCTCAGTCTCTCAGGCCAGGTTGACGAGCAGGTCCCACATCCCTTGGGGACATCGTTGGGGACGTCATTGGGGACATTGAGGACATCGCTGGGGACATCGCTGGGGACGTCGTTGGGGACATCATCGGGGACATCATTGGGGACATCGGTCACAGGTCGTGTCTGTCCCTCGGGGACATCGAGGACGTCGGGCTGGGGGGGTCTCCGTCCCCTCCGGAGGTGTCCTCGGCTTTGGGGACATCGCGCTGGGACGGCTCTCGACGTCTTCGGGGAGGGGAGGGGCTGGGGACACCGAGGGGGCGTTGGGGACACTGGGGGCCGGGGGGCTCTGGGGGTCGGGACTGGCGTAGACACTGAGTCACGAGTAGGTCTCAGCCCCTCGGTTGTGACATCGGGACATCGGGACATTGGGACATCGACTTGGGACATTGGGGACATTGGGGGACATTGGGGACATTGGGGACATTGGGGACAT